CTCATCCGCAAACAAAGAATTATCCTGTCCAAAATGTCAATACTGCAACTGTTGAGAAATCTCTGTCTATTCCTCTGCCAGTTATAATTACTTTGGCTTTGTTTTTTCACTTCATAGGTTTTCTGAGGTCTTTTTCAGCACCAAAAATAGCTATCTCATTCCTTTCAAGAACTTTATTGCATGGCTGGACCTAATACAATGAACAGATTCGTATCAATACATATTTAGATTAAGTGTGTTGCTTTATTTCCAGTAGTGTTTGCCCATAGTCCTTTTGTACAACTATATCTCTAGGCCAATTCCCTAGAATTGAAATTGTGAGTCCAAAGTTGTACGAGCCAGGCATCCCAGCTACTCCGGAGGCTGAGGCAAGAGCATCGCTTGAACCTGGGAGGTGGAGGTTGCAGTGAGCCGAGATCACGCCACTGCACTCCAGCCTTGGTGACAGAGCAAGATTCTGTCTTTAAAACAAAACAAACAAAAAAGTCAGTTGTAAATGACAGTTGATAGTGCCAAATAGTTTTACACTGATATTAACAGTTTTCCGGGCCGGGCACGGTGGCTCGCGCCTGTAATCCCAGCACTTTGGGAGACCGAGGAGGGCAGATCACCTGAGGTCGGGAGTTGAAGACCAGACTGACCAACATGGAGAAACCCCGTCTCTACTAAAACTAGAAAAAAAAATTAGCCGGGGGTGGTGGCACTTGCCTGTAATCCCAGCTACTCCGGAGGCTGAGGCCGGAGAATCGCCGGAACCGGGGAGGCGGAGGTTGTGATGAGCCGAGATCGCGCCATTGCACTCCGGCCTGGGCAACAAGAGTGAAACTCCGTCTCAAAAAAAAAAAAAAAAAAAAAAAGTCTTCCAAAATTGTATAAATTTACCTATTTCAAAAAGGTCTTTGCAAAACTTTGAACTTTTCACCAATCTGATAAAATTTTTTTGACTTTTTTTTTTTTTTTTTTTTTTTTTGAGAGTCTCGCTCTATCGCCCAGGCTGGAGTGCAGTGGGGCGATCTTGGCTCACTGCAACCTCCACCTCCCCGGTTCAAGTGATTCTCGTGCCTCAGCCTCCAGAGTAGCTGGGACTACAGGCAGGAGTCACTGCGCCCGGCTAATATTTTGGTAGACACGGGTTGCGCCATTTGGCCAGGCTGGTGTCAAACTCCTGGCCTCAAGCGATCTGCCCGCCTCGGCCTCCCAAAGTGCTGGGATTACAGGTGTGATCCACCATACCTGGTCTTGACTGTATTTAACTATAAGAAAGGCTAAGTCCTTTTTTTCCCCCCATAAAATCAAGCTCCTGCAGGAAGGGCTAAATACTTTTTCTCTTGCTTATTGAACATCTGCATTTTGTTAATTGTGAATTGCTTATCTTAGGGATTTTCCTAAGGGAGTATAAGTTTTTTCTTGTTTTGTTTTGTTTTTTTTAGACAGTCTCCACTCTGTCGCCAGGCTGGAGTGCACTGGCGTGATCTCGGCTCACTGCAGCTTGCAACTCCCTGGTTCAAGTGATTCTCCTGCCTCAACTTCCCTGGCAGAGTAAAACGCTTACTAGAACGTGAATCACTTATGATACAAGTATTTTCTCTCAGTTTGTCATTTAAGGATTTTTAAAGTTTTGCCATAAAAAAGCTTTTCATTTTTATGTACTGAAATTTATCAGATTTTTCCTTGGAACTTCTGGGTTTGCTGTTATGTTTAAAGACTTTTCCCACCTCAATGAATTACCACCATGAGTAATACTATTAAAACAAACTCCTAGGCTTGCATTTTCTGCCTTGGTTAAAAATTTAAATTTGCTAACTCAGCATTATGCTGCTCTGGGTTGAGTTTCATTTAGTATTTAACATCCCTTAAGACATGGCTTTATGTTCTTAAATATTCTATATATTGTCATAGAATTTTATTTGGATCTCCAAAATGAGTTGCTTTATTTTCCAACCGGTTGAAATCTCAAATTAGTTTTGATATCAAATGAAGGTATAGTTGTAGCACCACTTTGTAGGCAAGAAGGGAGTAAATACTTCTACCACCATACATAAAACTGGTAATGCTTTTTACTTAAGAGATAGATTTCCATTTTTACACATTAATTTTAAAGAAAAGGGTGAGGTTGACAAGCGGTAAGACTTATACACAGTAGTACTGAGAAGTCTACAACTACAAAAAAACTAACAAGGCAGAACAATTAATTTCAACTATCCATTGGCATATTTTACACACAAACCTGTGTCTTTTAGTAACATATAATTTTTTAGTACCAAAACCAGTTTTCATTCTTATCATCCTTACAAATATGAAAAATTAGCATAATTACATGACATAATATAAGAAGAGTCAGATGATAGATCTGAAAAATATTTTGTATTTCTCAAAGTCTGATCCAGAGATTCTGGGATCAAAATTTTCAAATAAACAGCACCAATACTTTGCTGATGATTTCAAAAGACCAAAATATCTAACAAAATATGGTATTAAATGAAGCATTAAAATAGTTTTATTGTCTTTAACACCCTATGAAACAGATGTCATCATTGTCCATTTTTTTAAAAGGCAAAAATAAACCAAAGCACTGAGTAGTCGCCTTAAGTCACGCTCTTCTTTAAACCGTCAAACACAAACTTTCAAGACTTATTACAAAAGAAGCATGGCTAGTACAAGGAAAATACCAGATTACTTCGTTCAATGTTCTTAAACTACAAATTATTTAATTAAAGAAAATACTTCTTTTCCTTGAAGCTGCCTAGCCTGAAGCTCAACAGAGTATTGCATTAAAGCACCAGGTCCCAAAGGGATTCTCAGAGAATCTGCAGTCATCATGCTGTAAGAATATTCAAAGCAGTCACTACACTATTTCTGGGCTGAATATACAGAATCCTCTCAAACAGAGCCCAATTTTTAACACAAATTGTGGTGGTGGTATACGTTAGCAGTGGCAAGTAGGAGCGGCTGGAATCAGGTAGCCGGTGGGTTACAAGCAGCTTGAGCTGAACATCACGTTCACATCTTTAGTTTTAAGATCTAGCATATGATCATTACTATAGCATTCTGTATCTGGACTGCAGCTGTTAGGGAGAAAAGTAAACCATACTTAATGTCAAAAGATTTTTAAGCCCCAGCCTCTGGCAACCACTTACCGGCTGCCTACCAAGAGCAACACTTAACCTCTATGACCCTGTTTCCTGGTTTGTAAAATGAGACCACCACCACCCACCTCTGGGGGATGTCTGAAGGTTAGGTTAGATAATACCAGTGAAAATGTTTTGCAAAAGGAAAGTACCAGAGAAATGTAAAATATGGCTATTTATTGCTAAGAACAAAATTCGGCCTTTATTGCCACTCCTCTTTTGAAAGAATAAAGCAACAGATGGCTTGTAATTCAGAAAGGCTTGGTAAAGATCTCACCCTCAGTCTGCCCTCAGCAACACTTCAAAAGCACTAGCCTACTTAAGACCGATCACCAGAATTACCTCATCAACAAAAATTGCCAAGTTGCAATTACTTAAAAAATTATTTTACGCATAAATGCATCTCACTCTGATGATGTAAGTGAAGATGGAGAGGAAGAAATGAAATATAAGATACTTTTAACACACCATCCATACGAAACAAAGAATGATTTTCAGACGTTTCTTTGGCAAATGGCTCATCACTTTTTACAGTCACCTTCAATACCTTCTCGTTTATTCATGGAAAATTTTAGGACTCGATTTAAGCATCGCGCTTTCATGAGAATTTTTGGTAATGGCTTCAAGGTCTGACATTCGAAACCCTGTCTCCTTCGCTTGGATGTCATTTACTGCAGACACTTCACGATCCTGTGGACCCTTGGGTGCAGCAGAAGTGACAATATACAAGTACTCTGCATTTTGTAATAAAGGGAAACTGAGGCCCACGCCTTGGCAGAAGTCCAAGGTCACACACGACGAGACTGGGATACAGTCGTTTTTTCGAAGGCTGTCGCATAGGACGCGGTAAGCCAGGACTCATTTCCCAAGAGAAACGGGCAAAGAGCTGCATGCTCACGCATTCTTGCTTTCTCCCCCTCTCACTGAGGTACAACACTGAGTCCTCGCTAGGGGGACTGCTCCGCTGTCAACTCAGACAAGTATCATCTCCTTCCCCCTCCCACCCTGTACAGACGACCCTTTCAGAGATGAAACTGTAGTTCCCAAAGACACATACTCGACCCATGGCCTCCCACGCCTGCCCGCTCCTCGGGGCACATCTCGGCCCGCAGAGCGGTCCCGGGACGCAGGGTACCCTGTTCCCTTACCAAGGAGCCGGAGGAAGATCTGGAGCACGATGCAGAACCGGCTTTGGCTGGAATCGGGGTAGGAGTTGAAGATGGCGTCGATGATGTAAAGGCAGGGCACCCTGAGCGCCACTTCGAGCGCCGCCCAGACCTGCTGATGGGCCATCCGCACCTGCTGCTGCGGGGGCCCCACCGCCGCCATGAGCCGCTGCCACACCGGGGCTGGGCGGGCCGGGCAGGGCCACGCGGGGCAGGGCCCGGGGCCGCGGCCGGGGGCGGGGGCTAAGGCGGGCAACTCCGCCCCTGCCCTCCTTCCTCTCCTGTCTCTCTCACGGCCCGCCCCGCCGCCCGCTCGCGTCCCTCGAAGTGGAGCAGGCGGCGGAGGCAGCGACGGCAGAGAGGGCGGCGGCGGCGGCTCCCCAGGAGGTCTCTGGGTTTCGGTGTTTCCGGCAGGCTAAGGTCTGACTCCTCCTCCCTCCACCGCCTCCCCCGCCCGCGGAGCCACCATCTTGACCTCGCCCGCTGGCCTCTGCCGTTGCTGCTGTGGCGAGGCCCGGAGGCTGCGCCGTCAGCGAAGCGAACCGCAGAGTCCGCGCCCACTGCCTGCGTCATAATCCAGCGCTAGGGACGGTCACCACGTCGTCATCACGCAGGGTTGCCATGGTTTCCGCCCACCTCTGAGGGTTTCGCTAGCTAACCCGTGGCGCATGCGCTTTTCGGTAGCCGCGCTTTTCGGTAGCCGAGTTTTCCGGCCTTGGGGTTGCAGCTTCACCCTCGCAGAGTCGGCTTAGCGAAGGGGTAGGTGCTTCCGCTGGGCAAAATATTAGCCGTTTTATTAGAGCCCATTAAACGTTGCATAAACGTGGTTCAGAGCTTCCAGGGAGAAGAAAAGCCAAAAGATGCCGCCCTCTCGACCTATCCCACCCGCGGGAGTCTGAAAGCCGACGCCAGGAGAAATGCCGCGAAGGCCGCCCGGGATTCTGGTAGGGGCGACGCTGTGTGCGTTTATGGAGCGCTTGCGGTGCGTGGCACTGGGCTGCGTGTGGTGGGCGCTGCCGAGAAAAAGGTTCCTCCCATCCATTTGCACATCACCCTTCCCACCTCCTGCCCAGATGGGGATGTCCAGAAGTGAGGACATTCATCGGCCGCATTTTACTAATGGCAAGGAGATAGCGACTGAAGGGCAAGAACCTAGGGTTTCCTGTCTTTGATATTTCTCATCTTGGAGGTAAGTACACCTGGACAGTCCTTTCCTTCCTCCTCAGGGCTCATGCTTTCTTGCCTATCCATGTAATGAATATGATCTGGCTATCTTTCTGTTCCGAAACTTCAGCAGCGAATGAAAGTGTAAGTTAGACCTTGCTATCCTACTTTAAGGGGGATAAAACAGGAATCAAGAAGCCTGGCCCACTTGAGCTCCCAGCCCAAGTGCATTCTGCAATCCAGTTTATATTAGTCCTCCATGTGAGTGGCTATACTTTATCAAGATTCCCCCCAAAGGGGAGGAGGATTATTAGTCACGTTATCAAACTCCCCTCCAACCCCTTTCTCTGCTTAGAGGTATGTGTAACGTGTAGTAGAAAGATCGAATCCCCACGCAAAAGTCCGTGCTGCTACTCATTTTTTTAACTTTCTGTTCTTATCGTCTACCCTACTCCCTAACAATGACCGCCATTTATCTGCTGCTTAATGGATACTAGGCACTGTCCTAAGGGTTTTATATGTTACTTAAATCTTTTCGTCAGCTTTATTTTGGTAGTTTGTTTTACAGAGGAGGAAACTGAGACTCAGGTAAGTTACAAGATGACAGGGTTACTACCTTGTTCAGTTAGTAGTCAGCAGCGAGTACATCTAAAGATAGTGCGAGTCAGAACTAGGATTTTAAACCCAGAGCTACCTGAAACTCACAACTTCAGACATCTTTGATTTCTTCTTTTCACCCACAGCCAATTCTTGGACTAAATTGTATCCATTCTGTTTTCACTGTCTCTTGTACTGGTCTCCTTTCTATTGTAACTGTCATCATCCTAACTCAAGATCCTTCTGTAGCTTTCCCCGGTTATTGCAATATCCTCATTACGATTGCCACCTTTTCTAATCCAGTCTGTTTACTACTGCCAGGTTAATTTCCCCAAACTGCATATCTGGGGAATAACCTTGTGGTTATGACGAAATTCCCAAAGGAAAGCAAACTTCGCAAGGTGCAAAGACTGTGAAGACTTAGAATTTAAGAGTTCTATGGAGATCTTCAGAGATATAAATTAGCTACTCAACATATCTGTTATTCTGCCCTGACTGCACTGTAAAGCAAAAGGAGAGAGGCCATTATGGGGGAAAAGATCCAAAAGGACTCCTAAAACACAAGTTGGGTAGAGGAGATAGGTGACTACTATTGCATTATGTTCATGGAAAATAAGTTCATGGGCTTTCCTCTAATTTTTATTTTAAAAGTAAATATACTAAATATTAAATAAAATTGTTTGAACAAATGCTTCAGTCTTTATTAATGTTTTAACTGTTGCTGATCTTAATTTGATGTACAAATTTTATTAGTATAAGAGTTTCTGAGACTAAATTCCATCTTGGGCCGAGAACCTTCAGGAGTGGTGGCAGAGTCTTTCTTATCTTTTTCATACAGCTTCTCCAGGCAGGCTCTCTGCCAAGCTTGTCCAACCCACCTTATTTTGTTACTGTTGTTCTGTTTTGTTTTAGGCTTTTAACAGTATGAAGCCATGGTTTTTAGCTTCTGTTTCTAGTGATAAGCAGAAAAGAGGGATGAGGAAGTATTTACTGGCCCAACCAGAAACGGAAACTAAGAACCCAAGACTATATTCTCTCCCTTGGACACCCCTGCGTGAGCTCTCTTTTTCCATCTATAAAATGAAGGTTTGAATAAGATCCTGGCAACTGTGTTAAAATATTACATTAAAATTAAATTTATAGTAATGAGGTAATTGATAGGATGCTTAGGAATTTTTAAGATAAAAGATATTTCCAGCTGGGTGTGGTGGCTCATGCCTGAAATCCCAGCACTTTGGGAGGCCAAGGAGGGTGGATCGCTTGAGCCTAGAAGTTCAAGACGAGCCTGGCCAATAAGGCAAAACATCTTTACAAAAAAATTGTAAAAATAGCTGGGTGTGGGCTGGGTGCAGTGGCTAACACCTATAATCCCAGCACTTTGGGAGGCCGAGGCAGGCGGATCACAAAGTCAAGAGTTCAAGATCAGCCTGGCCCACATGGCAAAACCACATCTCTATTAAATATACAAAAATTAATCAGTTGTGGTGGCGGGCACCTGTAATCCCAGCTACTTGGGAGGCTGAGGCAGGAGAATTGCTTAAACCTGAGAGGCGGAGGTTGCAGTGAGCCAAGATGGTGCCACTGCACTCCAGCCTGGGTGACAGAGTGAGACTCTGTCTTGAGGGGGGAAAAAAAAGTAGCTGGACGTGGTGGCACACGCCTGTGGTCCCAGCTGCTCAGGAGGCTGAGGTGGAAGGATCACTTGAGCCTGGGTAGCAGAGGTTGTAATGAGCCAAGATCATACCACTGTACTCCAGCCTGGGCGACAGAGTGAGACCCTGTCTCAAAAAATAGGTAATGTTTCCAAGAAATAACTACAATTAACTGAATCTAATCTTTGCTTGATTTCTGCATTGATTTGAATGTTGCACAACTCAGGTGTACATTTATACTGAGTCTGCATAAACAGTGTGGTTCATGAGTGTGTGTGTGTGTGTGTGTATTCACACAAACATACAAACTGTATACATAGAATACCTGTGTTCGAAAATAACAATCTGTTATAAATCCTTCAGATTTAACAGCTCAGAAAGCCTTTTAGTAACTTTCAAAACGTTTAGAGGAAGGATGTGTAAAAATTAATTTGAATTTTCTCTTGACATTTGCATTAATGAAGTCTTTTTTTCCTACAATAGAAACTGATTCTTCTGGGTTATCTTAAGCAAGAGAGGAATTTATTAAGGGGTTATTTTCATTATTCCTCAAGATTTCAAGTTACAGGAGAGACCATCTATATTAGGCCATTCTTGCATTGCTCTAAGTACCTGAGGCTGAGTAATTTATAAGAAAAGAAGTTTAATTGGCTCACGGTTCTACAGGCTGTACAGGAAGCCTAGTGCCTGCATCTGCTTCTGGGGAGGCCTCAGGAAGCTTTTGCTCATGGTAGAAGGTGAAGTAGGATCAGGCACTTCACATGGCAAAAACAGGACCAAGGGGGTGGGGGTAGGTGTCACACACTTTTAAACAATCAGATCTCATGAGAACTCACTACGGTGAGGACAGCACCAAGCCATGAGGGATCAGTCCCCATGACCCAGACACCACCAGGCCCTACCTCTAACTGGGAATTACATCTCAACATGAGATGTGCAGGGGAGATCCAAACTACATCACCATCCAATTGGTCAAGCTTACTGAATCATGTATCTGCACCCTAGCTTCCTTAGTGGGAGGAAGCAGTAGGAAACATGCACTTGGATTTAACCCCTTCACTAATATGTATTTTCTACTAATATGTATTTTCTTCAAGTGGAAGATAGGGATACTGGTAGGAAGGGTAGTGTCCTAGTCTGTATTCTGTGGTTTATAACAGAATACCTGAAACTGGGTAATTTATAAAGAAAAGGAATTCATTTCTTGCAGTTAGGGAGGAGACTGAGAACTTCAAGGTGGAGGGACCACATCTGGGGAGAGCTTTGTTGCTGGTGGGGACTGCAGGGAATCGTATGGTGAAGGGGCTGAGCATACCCACTCAGGCCTTTCCTCCTCTTTTTATGAAGCTACCAGTCCCAGGCCAGGCGCGGTGGCTCACGCCTGTAATCCCAGCACTTTGGGAGGCCGAGGTGGGCAGATCACCTAAGGTCAGGAGTTTGAAACAAGCCTGGCCAACGTGGTGAAACCCCGTCTCTACTAAAAATACAAAAAATTAGCCTGGCGTGGTGGGAGGCTGAGGCAAGACAATCACTTGAACCAGGAAGGCAGAGGTTTCAGTGAGCTGAGATCACACCACTGCACTGCAGCCTGGGCGACAGAGCAAGACTCTGTAAAAAAAAGAAAGAAAGAAAGAAAGAAAAGTCACCAGTCCCACTCTTACAGTAACCCATTAATCTATTAACCCATTAGTCCATGAATGGATCACCAGCCCTCATGACCCAATCACTTCTTAAAGGTCCCATCTTTCAGTACTGCCATATTGGGGATTAAGTTTCCAATACATGTAATTTGGGGGACACATTCCAACCAAAGCCGGTAGGATTGATAGTGAAAATATATACCATAACTTTTTCTCAGACACTGGGAATTACTGTAAAAATGATCTCTTATCCTAAATTACTTTATGGTTTTTCTCTTCTCATTAAAGTAAACTCAGATGTGCCCATCAAAATTCTATTTGAATTTTCTGGTTTTATAGATGCCAAATAAATAGGAAGAGTTTGTTGTTGCTACTTCTACACTGCTGTGTATGTAGAAGTGGGAATGTAAACTAATATAACCACTATGGAAAACTGTGTGGAGATTCCTTAAAGAACTAAAACTAGAATTACTATTTGATCCAGCAATTGCACTACTGGGTATCTACCCAGAGGAAAAGAAGTCATTATATGAAAAAGATACTTGCACATGCATGTTTATAGCAGCATAGTTTGTAATTGCAAAAATGTGGAACCAACCCAAATGCCTATCAGTCGATGAGTAGATAAAGAAACTGTGGTATAAATATATGACGGAATACTACTCCGCCATAAAAAGGAATGAATTAATGGCATTCGCAGCAACCTGAATGAGATAGGAGACTACTGTTATTCTAGGTGAAGTAACTCAAGAATGGAAAGCCAAACATCGTATGTTCTCACTCATAAGTGGGAGCTAAGCTATGAAGATGCAAAGGCATAAGAATGACACGATAGACTTTGGGGACTCAGGGAAAGGGTGGGAAGAGGATAAGGGATAAAAGACTACAAATTGGGTTCAGTGTATACTGCTTGGGTGATGGGCAGACCAAAATCTCACAAATCACCACTAAAGTACTTACTCATGTAACCAAATACTACCTGTTCCCCAAAAAAACCTATGGAAATAAAAAAATTTTAAGTTTGTGTGTAAGTTAAAGGAAACAACAGAGAATATAGTGGTATTTGAAGTACATGTTGAGTATATACCGACTGACTGTGGTTTGTTCATTCAGCAGACATTTACTGAGTACTTTCTATGTGCTTCACAGTAGCTAGCCCTCTTCTGCTGCCTCTGTCTAGTTCTGTGTCTCTAGGCAAAGTATTTAAGCTGTCTAATCTTTAATATCATCTGGGAAAAAGAATATTGCCAGGTAAGATATGAAATGCATGACATGCACTATCCAATTTAGCCCTCACCAAACTTGTCCAAGTTCACTCAGTCAATAGTAGTGGCAGAGCCAAGTTTCTGATTCATATTTTTCTGATTCCAGAGCCTAAGCTCTGATCCTCTGCAAGTACGTTATCATGCTTTTTACAAGAATTAAAGCAAATACGTAGTATAGCATGTAGTAAACAAATTGTAGGAGATACACTCATTGGAACCCCTGTTACTATGCACAGCACTTTGCACTGATTCCATTTATGGCTCAAGAGTGCTGTGAAGATATTAGTTGGAATTATTATATGAAATAATTAGGACTTCATTTACATTAGAATGTGAATGAATGATAAAATATGTTAATCTTGGGTGACGGTCAAGCATAATCTGAGGACTGAGATACTCCTGAGAGGAAGAGTATAGGTAATACTTAAGTTGAAAACATCTGTCAAAGCAGAGAGCCCAGAGAAGATGGCTATAGTATCCTACTGATGGGAAGGATAGGACCTTTCACCTTAGGTGGGATCCTGTAATCCGGGTTTCTGATCATTGCTTCTCATTTCACAGTTACACCCAACTGGATACAATAAAAGCTTCAAGATGGAAGATTCAGTATTGTAAAGATGTCGACCTATAGATTCTATGTAATCTCAATTTTAAAACTCAGCAGGTTCTTTTTTCCAAAAATCAAAAACCCCTTTTCAAAATTGGCTTAAAATCCAGTTTTAAGAAACTGGAAAAGGTCAAGAATAGCTAAGGCAGTCTTAAAAAACAAAGTTGAAGGATTTATACTGTGAGACATGAGTACCTATTCTAAACTATAGTAATGAAGACAAGATAGTATTGGTACATGGATAGAAAAACACCCATGGAACAGAACAGAAAGTCTAGAAAAACTCCACACATAGAGGGTCACTTGATTCATTAGAAAAGTGACACTAGAGTGCAGTGGGAAACGGATAAGCCAACAATATAATAGGACTCTGAATACTGCTTAACAAAGGACAGCATATCACTTAATGGTGAGACACGCTGGAAGCATTCTCCCTAAAGTTAAGAGTAAGGTAAGGTTGCTCACTGTCATCATTACTATTTATCATTGTATTAGAGGTGGGGGCTGGGAATAAGGCAAGTTAAAATGCTTCCCTGTTTACCAAGATTTAGCTGGTTTTCTCGAATAAAGGCACCTCAGATTATTTCAAGCTTTTTGTAGAGTTCTGAAAAAGTTGACCATTTTTGCCCGTGTTCTCATTGCTTTTATAGAGGAGCCGATATTTGGAGATGTTTACCCTGCTGTTTTGGAAGTTGTCCATTTTACTTGATATTGGGACGTATCAAGAGACCACTATACCTTGAATGTAAAATACAGGTACATTCCTTCCTTCCATTATCGTGTAGCAATAACGCTACTTCCTCCTGATAATTGGATTCAATTACCCCAACTAACATGGTGACTCTTCCTTGCCTGCTGGTGTCCTGGCACAAGGACCCTGAACTGGGAAACCTCAGCAAGTTAAAGTTTAAAGGATCTATTATTGTGTCTCTTGATGAAAAGATTCCTCTCTTGGGAATCAGGACTTCTAGACTTAAAGTTGTGAGGATGAGAAGTACAAACTTCTCACATGGGTCACTGGGAGTAAGAGTATGTGGTTATATTAATTTCCTATTGTGCTATGACAGACTTAGTGGTTTCAAACAACACAAATTTATTTTCTTACAGTTCTGGAAGCCTAAAATCAAGGTATCAACAGGACTGCTTTTCCTGAAGCCTTCAAGAAAAAGTCTGTTTCCTTGCCTTTTTCAATTTCTAGAGGCTACGTACATTTCTTGGCTATGGCCCATTGCTCATATCACCCCATCCTCCTGCTTAAGTCATTGCATCTACTAAGCAAACCTGCCTCTCTCTTGTAAGAATCTTTATGATTATATTGGGCCCATTGGATAGTCAGGGATAATCTCTGTATCTTGAGGTCATTAACTTAGTCATATCCACAAAGTTTCTTTTATCATGAAGGTAAAATATTTGTAGAATCCAGGTATTAGGATCTGAACATATTTGGGGGCCATTATTCAGCCTACTACACAGTGGGAATTCTATTTATATCCTTCCATCCCCAAACATGCATGCTATGTATATATGAGACACAGCACCATACAATGAGTATTGATTTAGAGTATATGCTGTACCCTGGTGGACAGGGTCATTCCATTTCACAGGCTATTATCTTCAAGCTTTTGCTTCATTTTCACTTTCAAAAGGGTTTTCCATCAGGCCAGCACTTTTTAGGTTGTATAGTATGTGATAGGACCAGTGGATCCCATGGTTATGTACCTGCTGACATACCTCCTTTGCTGTAAAGTGGGTCCCTAAATCAAAGGCAATATTACACAGGATACATGTTGATGGATCAAATACCTGTAAACCTTTGAATAGTAGAGCTGGCCAACAACTTATAGGCAAGGAAGTCAAAACTCATAAATGCAGATGGGCAGTTTCTAGTCAAGGAGAATCACTGCCTATTCTAGGATGAAAGGAATCCAACATAAGTCAACTTGCTGCCCAAGTAGCTGTTGGGAATCCTTGAGGGTTGGGGCTGTATCGGGAACTTGGTGTTTAACATTGGGGAGTGGCTGGTTTTTTTGTTGTTTTTTGAGATGGAGTTTCACTCATTGCCCAGGCTGGAGTGCAGTGGCACCATCTTGGCTCACCGCAACCTCTGCCTCCTGGGTTCAAGGGATTCTCCTGCCTCAGCCTCGTGAGTAGCTGGGATTACAGGCATGCGCCACCACGGCCAGCTAATTTTGTATTTTTAGCAGGGACAGGTTTCGCCATGTTGGGCAGGCTAGTCTTGAACTCCAGACCTCAGGTGATCCACCCACCTTGGCCTCCCAAAGTGCTGGGATTACAGGCGTGAGCCACCGCACCCGGCCTGGGGAGTAGCTATTGGATAAGTGGAGGCTGTCTATTGGCCTCTTGCTCACTTGCATTCCTGCAAGATGACTACTTTGTCATGAGCCCCCTATGCCATTCCTGGGGGCAGAGGGAGGAGACGGTGGAGCTGATGGCTGTAGCTGCTGAAGTTAACTGGTTAAATCTGTCTACTTGGTTATTTAATGCTGCTTGCATGTTGGATTGTCTCTGGCAGGTAAAGATTCTGTTATACAATACCAAACCCCTCCTTATGTGCCATATGTCATATATTTCTCCACTGCTTCTCCAGACTTCTTGTCCTTGATATGCCAGTCTTATTCCAGACCCGTGATCAGCTGGCCAACTTATTTGCCATTTGCCATGAAAATATGTTTTACTTCAAGACAGTTTCTTTCCACACAGAGTTGATGACCAGGAATACTGCCCCACATTATGCCGTTTGGAAGGGTTCTCCTCACTGCTGTCTTTTAAGGCCTGTCCTGTGTGGGCCTGTAGGGCAGTAGCAGTCCATTTTAGTTTTGAACCTATATTCCAAGAAAACGCAGTGAATTCAGCTCAGGCTTTTTTGTCCTCCATAAGCTAGACATGAGAGCCTCCCAAGTGGCCATAATTGTGAGCTGAGGAAGGGACATCGGTAAAGAATAAGATATGACATGGGAGCCTGACCACCTGCCTGTGCCCAGCTCATGATGGGCATCTCTGGCTACATCGTCACTTGATGTCCATAATCAGTTCTTACCAAGGCACATTAGTTTGGATAGAGTTGTTTTTGGGGTTTTGCACTGCAGATGGCCCAGCCTTGCCACAGAATGCCAGGAGTTGACCTTGTGATTCTCCCATTGGAGCTTGCCATCAACTTTCATGGTTTATCTCATTTACTCGTCCCATAGAATATCCTGAATTGGTCCATGCAACAGAGCTAAATACACCATACCTGCTAGAGAACTTTTACGTGCTATGGATCCCACTGAAAACTGGCAGACTTCTCTCTCACCCAGTTTACAAGTCAGAACAGTATTGCCAACTTCTGAATTCCCACAGAGGCCTACACAACTTGGTATGCTTCCCTGGTGGCAGAATAATTTTGGTGAAATGAGTGGGTGAGAAGCAGTAATTTGTCCTTTACTCTGAAGGGTATATCTTGGCATTCAAGCAGCCTACTGGGCCCTAAAAATTTCACTGATGTAACAGCTTGCTGGGTCTTAAGGATTATTTCCCATCCTCCAGTGTACAGTATGCTAGCTGCTTATTATTTACCTCACCCAGCTAGCATGATGTCATCAATGTGGTAGGTCATTGTGACATTATGTGGGATGTTCAGATGGTCTAGATCTCTTTGGATTATGATGCAGTGTGGAATAGTTAACATAACCCTAGGGCAATACTATAAATGGGTACTGCTGTCGTATATAAACACAAACTTAATTCTTACCCAGCACCCTCAGGACCCAGTTCCATACACGTGCTCATGGTTCCTGTTGGTACATGTTAGTTAGGTCCTGCATCTCTTTGGTCATATAAGCCCATTTGGAATTGAAAGTGGACACACAGAATGAGGGCAAAACACCTGCAGAATAGCTGCTTCATCATGGTGGTGTGGGAGTTTTTCATATCAGGTTTTGTTACCTTTGAGTTTTTAAATTATGTGTAAAGCTTTGATTTAAAAAAAAAAAAAAACTCAATTATTAAAAAGAAACTGAGACCGTCTGTCTATCCACGTATCTCTATTACCTAATGCTATTGTTGTGTGTGTTAATAAAATTCAATTTTAGCTTCATATTCATGCAATATTTTCATTTACCTTTGATTCAGCCTTGACTTTTAAAAAGCCAAAAGGACAAATACCTATTTTGACACTGGTTCTGATCTGTCTGAAATTCTGTGTGACCAATGGTCAAGTAACCTTGCAGGCTATTTATCATGTCTAATCTGAAAAAAGTCATTGTATTTACTAACATTTTAATATTCCCCTTATAATATAGGTAAGCATTCTAAACATGATTGTGGCAAGAAATTCTTATGTGCTTTACATGTTGAAATTCTATGTCAACTGAAGTACATATGTATATTATTGCAAGAGTGAATTTCTTCAATAATGATTGTGACAGCTAGTAAATTTAAGTAGAAAGTAATTATAAACGTCCAAATACTTTTTTAAATGGGCAAAATATATGAAACAATGGCCCTGAAGGCATTGGACATAGGCTGTGAAGAACAGTGAACCATGAGAGATGGAATGCAAACAAGATGCGCGATATAATTGCTCCAACTTGCTGCCTGAAGAAAGGCTTTGGCATGGGGAAAGGGAACCCAGAAGACTCCATGAGGTGAGGAGATATAGGTGGGAGTCCTGAGAACCCAAGGCAACTAGAGTTCACAGGGTAGAATACTAGAGAGGACAGAGCGACACAGAGAGAACTCCAGAGACCTGCTGACCATTCCTCTAAAGTATTAAGCTAAATGATCAGTACATGCATGAGAGGAAATAACCAAAGGCTTGGCAAAGAACCATCAGAAAGGATTAGAGGAAACAATACTCAAAGCTCACATAGGATGGTGAATGATCCCTGATCCCGTCAGCAAGAGTGGAAAAGGTCATAATTCACAAGGTGCCAGTTAGAGTACTAAGAAAGGTCTTGCTTCAGTAGTGGGAAAAAATATCCCCTGACTAAATGCTCTAGAATAACCTAACAAAGCTTAAAAGCAAGACCCAAAAACATTCAAACTGTGTCCAAATAACTTAATCATACTCCAGAAGAAAGTTCAAACTGTTTTAGGGATATGAAAATAATCTACAAAGTAAAATTCACAATGGCTGGCATCCAATCGAAAATTACCAGGCATGCAACAGAAAAATACAACCCATAATAAGAAAAATAAAACATTCTAGGCTGAGTGCGGTGGCTCACGCCTGTAATCCCAGCACTTTCGGAGGCCAAGGTAGGTGGATGACCTGAGGTCAGGAGTTCGAGACCAGCCTGGCCAACATGGTGAAACCCTGTCTCTACTAAAAATACAAAAATTAGCAGGGTGTGGTGGCACTCACCTGTAGTCCCAGCTATTCAGGAGGCTAAGGCAGGAGAATCGCTTGAACCCAAGAGGCGGAGGTTGCGGTGAGATCGTGCCACTGCACTCCAGCCTAGGCAACAGAGCGAGACTCCATCTCAAAACAATAAAATAAAACATTCTGTCAAAACTGACTCAGAAATTACAGATGATGAAGATTATTAGACAAGGACATTAAAACAATTATAATTATATTCCATATATTCAAGAAACCAGAGGAAAGACTGAAGATATTACAGACAGAGAAGGTATAAAAAGACCCATATCAAACTTCTAGAGATGAAAACTCCAATGTCTGAGATTGAAAAATATGTTACATGAGATTAATGGCAGATTAGATATTGCAGAAAGATAGATTAGTGAACTTGAAGACACAGCAGTAGAACCTCCCTGAAACAGAGAGTAAAAAGAACAAAATAAGACACACACCTCCTACCAAAATAAAAAGAGCATCAGTAAAGGGTGGGACAACTTCAGGCAGCCAAATGCATGGTGTATAATTGCAGTCCTTGAAGGAGGAGTGGGGAGCAAAAAATGGTGGTGGTCTAGTCCAAAGTAAGTAGAAAAAAAAGAAATATGAGAGCAGAAATCAAAATAAAAGGTAGGCTGGGTGCGGTGGCTCATGCCTGTAATCCCAGCACTTTGGGAGGCCAAGGAGAGTGGATCACGAGGTCAGGAGTTCAAGACCAGCCTAGCCAAGATGATGAAACCCCATCTCCACTAAAAATATAAAACATTAGCTGGGCTTGGTGGCACGTACCTGTAATTCCAGCTACTTGGGAGGCTGAGGCAGGAGAATAGCTTAAACCCAGGAAGGGGAGGTTGCAGTGAGCGGAGATCATGCCACTGTACTCCAGCCTGGGCGACAGAACAAGACTCCTTCTCAAAAAAAAAACAAAAAACAAAAAAAAAAAAACACACACACACACACACAGTACAAATACAATAAAGAAAATCAATGAAACCAAAAGCTAATTCTTTCAGAAGCTAAGTAAGTTTGATAAATTTCTAGGCCGACTGATCAGGAAAGAGATAGAGAAGACAAATTATCAGTATAGGGAACAAGAGGTCATAATACTACAGATTCTACAGTTGTTAAAAGGGAACATTTTGAACACTTTGTATCAGTGTATTTGGCAAATTAGATAAAACAGAAAAATTTCTTGAAGATGCAAACTACGAAAGCTCAGCCAAGAAATAGATACCCTAAAAAACTATTTTAAAGAAATTGAATTTATAGTTACAAATCTTCCCATAAAGAAAAAAATCCAGGCCCAGATAGCTTCATTGAGGATTTCTAACAAACATTAAGGAAGTAATAACAATTTTACACAAACTTTTCCAGCAAATGGAAGAATACATCCCAACTGAGTCAACTAATTCTATGAGCCAGCATTTTTCCCATGAAGGTAAACACAAAATGTATTGACTATGAATTATGTATATGAAGCCAACTCCTTGTACAATCCCATGTCACCATTGTTGTTGGAAATGAGAGTGGGCAGATTAAGGAATATTGGGGATTAATGTATGTGTTGAGTATATTTTAAAATGTTTTAGAATACTAGGATTTTGATGAACTGAATTTGCAAGACATCACATATTTAACCATGTCACATTTTTGCTTAGACCCTTCAATGACATCCCATTGCTGTTGGGATGGTGTTCTTAATATAGCCTACATTGCGCCCTGCCTGATCTGACCATCACTTAACTCTGCAGCCTAATTAACATTCCTTCACCCCTTACTGTTTCCTCTCCATCCACTCTACCCTTCATTTTGGCCCCTCAAACTCCTCCACATGGCACTTGCACACACTGTCAGAGCCTGGAAAACTGTTCCCCATTTTAGCCACTCATTAATTCCTACTCACCATTCAGCTCGCAGCTAAGTCATCAAATTCTCAGGGAAGACTTCCCTGACCTTCCTGACCAGGTCAACCCCTGTCATAGGTTCCAATTGTACCCTGAGAATCTCTCCTCCCAGCATTTACTAGAATGCAAGTTGTTATATGAAATGTTGTATGTTGTGTGTGATTATTGGATAAATGTCTATCCCTCTCATTAGAGTATAAGGTCCATGGAGTCTGGGATTGAGTCTCGTTTTGTTGGCTATTTTACTCCCAGTGGTTGCCACAGTGTCTGGTACATTATGGGGCCCCAAACACATGTATGAAAGGGCAAGAAGAGAGAGAAGGGAAAAGAGACAAAACAAAACACTCCAGCCTGTGGTCTAGTAGCTAAGCTGCTGTGCTTTTATGGCTACAGCCTGAGTTAGATTCTGTTCAGGGAACAAATCCCATTATCTATTACTTCGATTAAAAAAAAAAAGACCAAAGGCAGTCAGCCCTTGGAGTCATGGATAAATTAATTTCAAGAACGAATGAAGTTTTTATTTCCATAGCATTTTCACTGGATGGAAGCATTAACAGTTGAAACATCTGAAAAAAAGAATTGATTCAAGATGCCCTGTTTTGGGTCGTATGAGCTCTGTGAGCATTCCTGCTCAGTTTGTATTTACTCACCTCTATTATATATGTCTCATTTATTTGGTTAATCTAGTACTCAGAATATCAGGTAGAAATATTTGTTTGTAAGTTAAAAAAAAAAAATTCCCACAGTGACTTAAATAGACTTGGGGGTGGGGTTGCAAGTTATTTTACTTATTTTTTTTCACATGACAAGTTCAGAGATAGACCTATTTCAGGGCTGTGTAGCTGATCAGAGATCCCCTTAAGAAATCAGAGTCCTACAATGCTGCTCTGCCAGTCTTAGCATGCTTGGAGAGATGGCTGCTACATCTCTAGGGTCAGAGACCCAAAGCCCTCCCTGGGGACCTCTGCCTGCAGCTCCTTGCCAGAACTGGTTCACATGGCCACTATCTGTGCAAGACAGGCTGGGAAATTTAGTACTTGAGTTTTCCAGCTTCTCCTTTTTAAGAGAAAGGGGAATTGGGATGGATACTGTGAGTCAATTCTGGGCTCAGTGAAAAGGTTCTTAGGATCAACTTGGAGAATCTGGAGAAGGGCCTACAGGAAACACACAATGGTAACTGTAAGATTCAAGAGAAAGTTTCAATGAGACAAATAGCTTATCCTGGAGAAGAAGTTAAGGGGCCCTCACTTCCTCTGCCTTTACCTGGTTGATCCTATTCAAAATTCAGCTCTAGGACAGGCACCATGGCTCATGCCTGTGATCCCAGCACTTTGGGAGGCTGAGGTTAGAGGATCACTTGAGCCCTAGAGTTCAAGACCAGCCTGGGCAACATAGTGAGACCCTATATCTATAAAAAAATTTAAAAATTATGACTGGGCACAGTGGCTCACACTTGTATTCCCAGCACTTTGGGAGGCTGAGGTGGGTGGATCAGATCACTTGAGGTCAGGAGTCCAAGACCAGCCTGGCCAACATGGTGAAACCCCGTCTCCACTAAAAACACAAAAATTAGCTGGGCATGGTGGTGCATGCCTGTAATCCCAGCTACTTGGGAGGGTGAGGCAGGAGAATTGCTTGAACTCAGGGGGTGGAGGCGGGTGAGGGAGGTTGCTACTCAGAAGGTTGGGGCAGGAGGATCATTTGAGCACAGAAGGTCAAAGCTGCAAGTGAGTCTTTTTTTTTTTTTTTTTTTTTGGTGGGGGGACAGAGTCTTACTCTGTCACCCAGGCTACAGTGCAGTGGTGCGATCTCCACTCACTGCAACCTCTGCCTCCTGGGTTCAAGCGATTTTCCTGCCTCAGCCTCCTGAGTAGCTGGGATTATACGTTGTTTGCCACCATGTCTGGCTAATTTTTGTGGGGTTTTTTTATTTGTTTGTTTGTTTTTGAGAAGGAGTCTCGCTCTGTCACCCAGGCTGAGCGCAGTGGCATGATATCAGCTCACTGCAACCTCTGCCTCCTGGGTTCAAGCGATTATCTTGCCGCAGCCTCCCGAGTAGCTGGGACTATAGGCGCCCACCACCACCCCTGGCTGATTTTTGTATTTTTAGTAGAGATGGGATTTCACCATCTTGGCCAGGCTGGTCTCGAACTCCTGACCTTGTGATCCACCCACCTCAGCCTCCCAAAGTGCTGGGATTACAGGCGTGAGCCATTGCACCTGGCCAATTTTTGTATTTTTAGTAGAGACAGGGTTTTACCATGTTGGCCAGGCTAGTCTCAAACTCCTGACCTCAGGTGATCCACCCACCTCAGCCTCCCAAAGTTTACAGGCGTGAGCTGGGATTACAGGTGGGAGCCACCGTGCCCAGGCTGCAGTGAACCTTGATTGCACCACTGCACTCCAGCCTGGACAACAAAGCAAGACCCTAAAAATAATAAAATGCAGCTCTGGTGTTCCTTCCTATAGGAAATGTTTTCAACTTCTTTCCTTTTTTTTTTTTTTTTTCCAACAGCTTTGTTGAGATATCATTCACATACTACAAAATTCACCCTTTTAGTATATATGTTGCTGAAGCAAGTAGGGAAATTCACCCTTTAAAAATATACAATTAAATAGCTGGTTCATATATTACAGAGTTGTGCAGTCATCACCACCATCTATTTTCAGAATATTTTCATCTTCCCACAAAAGAAACGCAGAACCTATTAGCAGTCATTCTCCATTCTCCACTCCCCCCAGCACCTGGGAACTGTTTCCTCGATTTGCCTATTCTGGCCAATAAATGACCTTTTGCAACTGAATTCTTTCACTCAGCATGTTTTCAAGGTTCATCCAGAAACCATGTATCAGTACTGCATTCCTTTTTACAGATTCCACTGTATAGATATGACATTTTGTTTAACCATTCATCAGTTGATGGACTTTGGGTTTCCACATTTTGGTTATGAATAATGCTGCTACAAATACTCATGTACAAGCCTTTGTGTGGACATATGTTTGCATTCTCTTGGGTGTATATACCTCTATCACATGTCTTATTTATTTGGTTAATTCACTGCTGCGTCATATGATAACCCTATGTTCAACATTTTAAGGAACTGCCAAACTTTCCCAAGTGAACAGGGTTGGATCTTTATTTTAAACATTTTAAATACTTGTGATCATTTTAAGTAATAGTTTAGTTTGAAAGTGACTACTTTTACAGCTTATGCAATATAAAATGGCTGTACCCTGAGGCTGTTCAGAACGATATACGTTGGATTTTGTCACGTGTACCCAGGGTAGGAGAAAATGAAATTTAAATTCTACCATTTTTAATTTCTGTTCGTGTATGGTTTTGTTTGTTTTTTGTTTTTGAGACAGAGTCTTGCTCTATGGCCCAGGCTGGAGTACAGTGGTGCAATCTCGGCTCACTGCAACCTCCACTTCCTGGGTTCAAGAGATTCTCCTGCCTCAGCCTCCCAAGTAGCTGGGATTACAGGAGCCCACCACCACACCTGACTAATTTTTGTATTTCTAGTAGAGACAGGGTTTTGCCATGTTGGACAGGCTGG